CAATTTTATTTATGTTTGATATCATGTACATGTGCCAGGAATAATTGTGCACAACTCAGGCAGAAAATTAAAACGAATAGAGATGTTATTGTTTCACTACTATTCAGCTATTTCAACAAACATTGTTATGTGGCTGTATACCTTAGCCCTTCAGGAGTGGGGTGTACAAAAATTCTTTAAGACTACAATGTTTGGGGTACTGTTGTTGCGGAGTATTTTTGTGTGGGAGGAGGAACACAGTTAGTGTACTGGACTGCACATCAAGTCTAGTTTTGAGCCAATTGTAAGGGTCTCTGCATTGCGTACTTAAATTTCACACTACTTCTCTCCAGCTACAATCATAGACAAAAGTCTTTGGACAAATTTGCACTTTTATGCTTTTGCACACAACCCGGACAAACAGTTGCACTAGGCAGGTGAAGGTTTATTTAATACAACTTCACCTGCCAAGCCTCTCCCCCCACCCCACATACACTGTTTAAAACTGGTACCTACCATATCTCCTGAGTTTCAACATTGTAACAGTATTGGATACGGAGAGGGGAACAGCAACACATTACAAGGATAGCAGTGCTTTTTCAAACTTCAGTTGAAAAACACCGATAATTTGTTGCATTACATCAGTGTCTCAAGGACTTTTGTCCACAATTGTAGTTGTACAAATAAGTACTGGTTCCTAACCCTGTGACAGACCAGCATCCCATCCAGGTGCAACAGAAATATGCTTATCACTTAGTGCAACAGAGACCTGGATAAGCTGGGGTGGTTTGCACCACTTGGCCTGGTGCAGACTTGACTATACCTTTATTGTCGAAATTTGCCTTAGTAGGGTTAAAATGGAACAAAAAATTGGTCTGTTTTTGTGTAGTTTCTAAACTAAGACATGAAACCAAGAATGTCACAAAGGTTAGAACATTTCCTAATTCTTACTTGATAGGACACGGAAAAAAAACAAATACTATGCTGAGACTCAAGAGGGAAAAGAATCAAATTGAGACACTAGATTCCTTATTAGGTAAGTCACAATTTTCTTTTAAAAGGAAGGGTTTTTAATCACGTGATGGTGCAGGTAATAGGAAGTGAATGAGTGTAATAGTACACAATGCAGGTAAAGAATTTAAGCAAATTGAGATGTTATTGTTTCACTGTACGAATATTTCAAGAAACCTTTGTTATATGGCTAACCGGACACAGTCAGCTGGTGCACATGCGTGTTAGATACCATTTCATATCCAATTTGCATATCACGGAGACTAGATCCATACTTTTTTTAACTAAATATGATAAAAATAATATCATAGGATAAGCAAAAGCACATCCAAAAACAGGTTTTTCAGTAAACGATTGGAAATCAAGCAAAACACTGCGAAGATTGAAGCGGACTTCAAGATGTACTTTGATTTCAGGTTGAGGTGGACTATTTTCAAAGTGAGAAAACTAGTTGAGTTAGGTTATACAAACATTCCTTAAAAATGCAATGCCCGAGGTACTGTTGTTGATGAATATTCAAATTGTGAGAAAAGGGGCCTAATTTGATTAAAGACCAATTGATTTCTGGTTCATGTATACATGCATACACACATGACTTTTACCCTCGGATTTCAGAGTAGCTTATGTATCAATGCGCCTCATGAGTGATCAGCCCAAAATTTCAAAAGAAAACCATAATTACTTGTAAACAACTGTGAAATATATTGTCTGCATAAATGCATATTGCATTTGAGACAACAACTTTGTCTTGATATTTGCTTGAGTAAATATTTCAATTTTTGTTTCTATTTGGTCATAAGCGTCCGGCAAAGTACTTTAAAAATGTGAAGCTACCCGAGAGCTTTTTTATTTTCAAACATTTTGCGAGTCATTTTAAGATTGGCGACTATTAACCACTCCTAAATTCATCCTCAGGAAGAAAATATAAATTTTGCCCGTTTTGCCGGGAACATTTTTTTTGCCGTGAAATTTTTATTGTGCTATTTTGCTGGTGAGCTTTTCGCCTGCAAACGTT